ATCTCACATCTGATGGTTGCTCCACTGAAGTCCACTGATGAGGGAGGCCAGCGACGATGCCATTGCAGTAACCTGGGACAAGACGTGCTGACACAGATCTGGGAGCTGCACTGGGGTGGGGGGCGATGAGCAGTTGTCAGATTCTAGAAATGTTTTGAGGTAAAGTCTGGAAAATCCCTAGTGGATCCATTGGCTCAAGGTGGCCGAGAGAGGAGTCCAGGCTGACTCCTGGGCTGCTTCTCTGAGCCACCAAGCTAGAAAAAAAAAAAAGCTGTATGTGGAGCAGGTTTAGGGGAGGTCAGTGGTCTAGGTGAGTTTTCCTAGCAGGCCCTGGGATGAAGCAGACTGGATTTGGGAGAGAGATGGAGATGGAGGTTTTGATATGAGAACTTCTGTCCTAGGTGGGGACTTGATCAGGAACAAGTAGGTCTTAGATGTAACATCAACCAGGAATGAAGATCAGTTGTCCTTCCAGGGACATTCCTCAGTGTTCATCTCCATGTTTTAAAGGAAGATCTAGAGGACCAAAAGAAGACTGTCTGAATAGTGGCCGATGCGTGTGTGTTGCTCTCGGGAAGGGTCAGGAATCGCTTTTGGTGTTTCAAGCAAGCGCCACTGCCTTCGCCTCGGGCGAAAAGGTTTGTAAACTATGTTTATAGCAGGGATGCCCTATAAAGAAGAAACAATTCTGAGAACATGAATAGCTATTCATTTTCTTTCTATCTCATTGTGTGTGTGTGTGTGTGTGTGTGTGTGTGTGTGTGTGTGTGTGTGTGTGTGTGTGTGTATTCAGATTTTCATAAACCAAGTAAATGTCAGAGTGGTATCATTTTGGACTAGCAGTAAGCACCTCCTCCCCTAGGTGGCGCCCCAGGCTTGTGCTCCCTTCCCTCTTTCTCAATTGCACTTAATTAATCGGCAACTTAATTTAATAGCCATTAACTATAATTAAGTAATTAAGTAATTAATTAATTATAAACTCAGCTATGGTGGCCAAACTCTTGTCCCCGTGTCCTAGACATCAAACAAGGGAGAAAAGGGAACCAACAATAAGGACAACCAGGGCGGTCGGTGTGAACAAATGTCCCACCCACCTCCTGTCCAGCATTCTGGTGTCCCCTAGCCAAGAACGCTGTCCGGTGTTTCTCCTCAGTGGAAATGAGACAGAGATGAAACCCCTAGAGCTGACATGATAGAGCCTCTGTGCAGACCACAGGCCCTTGCGGAAGTGGAGGGCCACAGAGCACCATAGCCAGGCCGGTAGAGCCCGGCCCATTCCCGGCGCTGAGAGCGCAGGCCCGATGGCTGGGAACAGTGTTCCACAGCAGGGGACGTGGGGCAACAGTCGTGGCACCACCACACTTCTAGCCTCATGGGACCCAGTGCCATCTCTCTCTCTCACCCCGGGCCCCTGTGTTTACTAATGGCTCTACAGACCTAAGTGTCATAAATCATCGACGTGAGCCAGAGTTTCAGTCCTAAGTACTAGGGAGGCTGGAGTAGGAGGGTGGACTGCTCAAGTCCATAGTTATTGGCCTGTCTGGGTAACATGGTGAGATTCCAGTCACACATTCAAAAGGAAGGCAGGCAGGTGAGCAGCCCTGAATACGCCTGGCCACACAGAAGCCCCGGGGTCTCCTGGAATCCTCCGAGTCCTTACCACAGGCGATGGACACAGTGTAGAAAAAAGCTCTAAGAGGTGACACCCCCCCCCCCCCCGGCCACCGCAAACCGAGGAATTTAGGCAAGAAAGAAGATCCCTCTCTATTTAATTTCCATGTAGCTCTAGATGATGGGTGAGAAACAGCCGAGTGAGCAGCACCAGGACTCAGGTTGCACCCGAAGAAGTGATCTGGGGGCGGGGCAGAAGTCGGTTGCCAGGGTGTGATGGGGGACACAGAACTCAAATCTACGGATGCACCCACCGCACTGCCGAAGGTCATGGGGATCCTGTCCCTGACAAGGATCGTAGTCTTTGGGGATAAGCTTGCCATGACAACTCAAAGGACGCAGCTGCTGTGTGGGCCACTTGAGCCGGAGAAGAGGGGTCAGGTCAAGCTAGAAGCCGAGGAAAGGATTCCTTCGGTTTTCTGCCTTTCTGAGCTTTGCTCCCGAGGTTGGCTTGCTGTCTAAGGCTGTGAATTGTTTCTGTTCTGGCTGGACTGTGCTACTCAATGCCGTACTGCAGGCTGCTTAGCCAGCCCCTGCTGCACACAGTCTCCACACAGAGCACCCTTCTGCATCTCTCCTCCCTCCCTGTTCCTGGATGTCATCAAGGTGGAGCCCCAGCTGCCCCAGCTACAGAGGGTGTGGAGGAAGCAGGTCTCCGAAGCAGCATCTTCCCACTGCAGGCCAGCTGGAGCACCCATGGCTCGCGCCCATCACCTAGCTGGCTGAACACTGCCTTAGGAAATACCAGGAGCTGAAGCAAACTTCTCCCCAGGCTGAGGACAGAATGCCCAGGGCCCACAGCGGGAGTCAGTCCTGCTCCTTGCTGGACCCTTCCTCCAAAACTATCTGGGATCTCCAGTTCTCGATGTCCTGCCAGGCTTCGTTCCTGAAATACCCAGAGAGCATCTTCAAGTACTTCAAGGGTGACTGAGAAGAATCTTAGGGGCATTCCTACCAGTCCGGCTGATTCTGAAGGGGGAGAAAAGCTGGCATGAATGCAGAGGGTACAACTTGGGAGGGGGCTAGGGACCCCCTTTACTCTACAGGGAGTCCCATCATCTGAAGTTTGGAGGGCTCACTCCCTCCTTATAGATAAGCTTCCAAAGGGAAATGTGTTTGTCCAAGATTGCTGAAGGAAAGAGAAAGCAGGCAGGAGCAAGGAGGCCTCTCCATCCTTGGGTCTTCCCAAGGCTGCATGTGCCCCCAGATGTCAAACCCCACACTGGGCACAGGGCTCAGGCACTGGGCAGGGCAGGTCTTTCTCTCTTGCTGTCTTGTGAATGCTTAAGCTCATCTCTGGATCTCCCAGGGTGCTGTCTGTTTATTTGGCTGTTGGTTTTTGGTTTGTTTGTTTTTTTTAAGTAGTTTTGCTATGCAGCTGATGGCTAAACTTTTCCTGGGGAGACACGAGCAAACAACTATTCACCCCAGAAAGGGCACCAAAGAAATGAACCATACTGTCCAGCTTTGGGAGCTGACAAGTTTACTGAGTCTACTTACGGGAGTGTGGGTGAGGGGTTACTTACAGCAGAGTGGATGGCCCCAACATAGCCACCTCACCAAAGTCTCTACCCCAGCATAGAGGATGACCTCCCCATAACTGTGTAGATGGGGTTCCCCTTTGGTTAATTTTCCACCCTTCACATGATCTGCATACCCTGCCTCCATGTGCAGCTGAGGGGGAATTACATACGTAGCTTTGAAGGTACTCAAGAGAGTGGCTGGGATCTCAGGTGAGGGACAAATGGGCTTCTCCGGCCCCTCCTGCAAAGGATTTCTCTCGGGGGAATCACAGCCACTCTGATTAAATAGGTAATGACTGTTGTACTGAGGACGGCATTCCTCAATGGTAGCCCTGGCTGGCCTGGAATTCACAGTGTAGCCCAGGCTGGCCTCAAACTTACATCAATCCTCCTGCCTCAGCCTTAAAGGCAATACCTACTTCTGGTTCTGGTCTCAACTGTTTACTTCCTGGTCAGTCATGATGTGAACCAGGCTCAAGTCCCTACTGGCAAGGACAGCCATTTCAATCATGATGCCTTCCTAGCCATGATGTGTTATACCCTCTAAACTGTGAGGCCAAACAAACTTCTCTGCTCTTTGGCTGTTTCTGTCAGGTGTTCTGTTGTGGGATATCTGTACACCGTGTGAAGGTGTATTTGCTGTGATTGGGGTACTGAAAAGCCAAATGGCCAATAGCTAGGCAGGAGGTATAGGCGGGGCTTCTATGGAGAGAAAGGAAGAGGAGGAGACATCAGGAGACTCGGAGAGGAAACAGGAAGTTCAAGATGAAAAAGAGGTAATGCCAGTGGTAAGATGTAGATTAGTAAAAAATATGGGTTAGTTTAAGTTATAAGAGCTAGTGGTACAACCTAAGCTAAGGCTGAGCTTTCATGATTAATAATACACCTCCATGTCATTATTTGGGGGCTGGCAGCACAGGGAGAGACTTGCTACAGTATTCTCTTACAGGAACTGGAAAAGTAATCGATGCAGGAACCCACCTTGAGAGACACTGCCCGAAGAACCAGTACCCATGTGCTCAATCCGCACAACACAGCTTCTGTAAGTCACTGTGAGTACAAGGAGGTTGGCAAGGATGACTCCAACCTCCAGATTCCTTATGGTCTCTTAAGCTCAGGCTGAGATTTGTTCAACTCGGTCCCCTGCCACCACGTCCTCTAGGGCTAATTGGCTTGAAATCAGTTCTACCTGGTGGGCACTTTGCATTCTGGAAAGCCATCCTTGGTCAGCCAGTAGAAAGAAGTGAGGTTTCTAGAAAACTGGCAAGCTAAGCCAGCCCTGTGAGGATCTGGAGTTGAACTCAACGGAACCGGAGGAGTGGGGCCCTGCACACCCTGACTCACCCCACCTGGCACCTAAATAATGACACCTTATACTGCACAACTTGGCAGATGGCTTCACGCCTGTTTCTTTATTGCCTTGCTGGCTCTGTGTGGTGACTAAGACAAATATGGCTACTGCTTGCTGATTCTAGAAACAAAAGCTCATGGGGACAATCCCTCTGAAGTCGCATGGCTATTGATGGATCTAGCTGGGAGTATAAAGATTGAAAACACAGGCTGGGGATATGGCTCAGTGGTTAAGGACACTGGTGGCACTCCCAGAGGACCCAGGTTCAATTCCCAGCACCCACATGGTGGTTCACAACTATATGTAACTCCAGTCCCGGGAGATCCGATGCCCTCTTCCAGCTCTGTGGTCACAGCATATGGTGAACAGATAATCGTGGGCAGGCAAAACACCCATGCACATAAATAATAATAAAACACTTTTTAAAGATTGGAAACACCATTTATTAGGAAACTTCTACAGAAGCAGACAGTCTGGCTGATCCATTAAGCTTAGAACTATATACACACATACCTTTCATACTCAAGACAAAAAGCCCACAGGAAGAAGAATAAGGCAGCTTCAGATCTCTTCCAGCAGCAGCCAGTGCCATAACAGAGGCAAAACGTCTAGGAGGAAAAAGTGCCATCCAAGTGGACCCCATACAGCTGAACGGGACCGAGAATTCAAAGACTAGAGATTGTATTTCCAGGCATAAAAAGACTTACATCTAAGAGTTCTCCTGGAAAATGGACTTGGTGGTGGAGCCCTGTGATCTCAAGGATGAGTCAAAATAAAAAGTCCTGTTCCTCTGATGCCTGGTGAGAATGTGGTCTCTACCCAGGAGGCCATTAGACACCAGGAGAATAGTGGCTTGAGATTCGACGATGAAATGCTGACAAAGTTAGACTAACCCAGGCACCAAAGTTGGGAGGAAGAGGAAGGCGAGATGAGTGTGCCTGTCCCTTGTCTTCCCTAGGTACAGTCAACCCGTGCTGTCCATGGGAAGACACACTGGAAACACACAGGCACCGGGCTTGGGCGTGGCTCTGCGGTAAAGCATTTGCCCTGCATGTGTAAGGACCTGAGTTTGATCCTTAGAACCTGAAAACGCCTGTGGTGTGCACGCATAATCCCACGGCAGCAGGAACTGGTGGTGTGCACTCATAATCCCACGGAGAAGGGAAAGCTGGGTCTGTGGATGTGCTGGCTGGCCAAGCTACCCTGGTCAGTGGGGCTCCAGGATGAGCAACCCCATCAAATAAACAAATAAATAAAAGGGTAGAGAGCTCCTGAAGAATAATACACAGGTTGCCATCTAGCCTCTACACCCATACACATACATGTGCACTCAAACACACACAGGCATGAGTACCCAAACACACACATGCATGAACACCCAAACACACACAGGCATGAGCACCCAAACACACACATGCATGAGCACCCAAACACACACATGCATGAGCACCCAAACACACACATGCATGAACACCCAAACACACATATGTGCACACACTCACACTGTATCCACCTTATTGAATTTCCTTATATTTGGTAGCACCTTATAGGAAATTTGAGGGGGAAGGGGTATAGGGAGGAACAATTATTTGAAGTTCTCACTAAATTCATTTAAAATTCATTGTAGAACTCACTTCTACAACGTGTTCATGTATGCATAGTGGTGGCCATCTGGGTAGCATCTCTGTCAGCCTCACTGATGCCGTCTCTGCCATCCTCCAGATGTTCCTTCCTGTGTAGAGAGAGATGTGTGGGGTGATGTTGACTAGTGATTATCATCAGCTGACTTTAGGTGAAATTTGGGTGAATGCTGCTTCTGTCTTTATATTTTCTTGTATCCCACCCATTTTACAACATGCATTATTTACACTGATAGGATGACATAATTAGAAAAAAATTAAAGGAGTGAGTGAAGAAACACCAAGCTGATGCGCTCAAAGGGGAAGCAGAAGACACAGCAGACCCTTAGAGAGTTCTTGTCCTGAAGCCAGCCCTCACTTGGCCGCACAAGGAAACCAAAAGCAAGATAAATCCTGGTAGCAGCGTATTGTTGTTGTTTTGGTTTTTGTGAAACAAGGGCTTGCTAGGTGTCCCAGAATGGCCTTGAACTTGCTGCTATGCCCTTGTCTCAGCCTCTCAAATGTTGAACAATGCAATGCACAAGTCTGACTTAGTAGATGGCCACTTGATGGAGCCCAGTGTCTTACCAACAAAAGCAAGAACTGACCTTGGAATCCTTCATATATTTTTTTTCTTTTCTTGTATGTGTGTGATATGTAAGCATACATGTATGCACATATATGATGTATGTGTGGGCACTCGAATGCCACAGCATGGTATATACATACACATGGTTTCTACTTCCCTCTTTAAAAAAAAAAATAGAAGCTTGAGGACACACTTCGTGCCTGCCAGGGCCAACACTATCCCTTCAAAGGTCACCAGAGTTCCTGTCCTCACCTTTACCCAGGTGTGCATAAACTATGAGGTTCCTAGCCTGAGTAGAAGAGGCATACAGAGGTGACTGCCACCTCCCCAGGAGCAGTCACGGCTCACTGGGTTTTTGTTTTGTTTTTCCCTTTACAGTCAACATTGGATCTGCATAAAATAAAACCTAACCCTGATTTCTAAAGTAGATCCGCGTGTGTATTCTTTATACAAAAGTCCACCCTGGCCCGGTTTAAATAAAGCCCAACTGTTCCCGAGAAGATGGAATGAAAAGCTAGGAGATCTCTACCACCACTGCCTACATGAAAGGCTCACATGTGTTTATGTGCTTCAAGCCATTCATCTGTCTGGATCCTGGGGCACTTCAGGGTGGCCAAGTAGGAAGACACCATCTGGTAGACAACTCACTTTGGTTTGGCTAACTTGCTTATGTAAAACTTACATTCTCAAAAGAAAAAAGTTCAAAACAACTAAGTAAATGAGTCAAGTGTGTGATATGTTTATGTATGGTATGTCTGTGCATACATACACAGACATGCATACAGTTATATGGAGGTGAGAGGTCAAAGTCAGGTCTCTTTCTCAGCCCTCTCCACTTTAGTTTCTGAGACAAGGCCCCTTCACTGAACCTGGAGCTACTGACTGGATAAACTAGTAGGCCAGTGAGCTCTGGGGATCCACCTGTCCCAGCTTCCCCAACACGGGAGTTACAGACACACATGCCATGCCCATCTTTTTACGTGGGAGTCCAGGGGATGTGGACTCAGGCCTTTATGCTTGCAGCATTTTACCTCTGAACCCTCTCCCCAGCCCCAATAATATTTTTCTATCCATCATCACCACCACCACCACCACCATCATCATCATCAAGACAGGGTCTCAAGTAGCCCAGCCTGGGGATCTTACTAAGTAGCCAAGGGTTGCCTTGAACATCTGATCCTCCTGTCTCTACCCCTTGATTGCTGGAAGCACAGGCAGGAGCCACAACATTGGTTCTATGTGTTGTTGAGGGTCAAGCCCATGGCTTCACGAATGCTAAGCAAGCACCCTAACAACTCTCTTAACAACTTAGCTACATCCCCAGCCCGATTAAAAGAAAAATTTAAATAACATACTCGTCCCTCCTCAGGCTAGAGAGCCCAGGGTAGCCCATGTGGCCAAATGACTTTAGTTTATCACCAGAGAGATCAGGTTCAGTTTCTCTACAGGAGACATTATGAGTTGGAGTCAACCCATGGGGGAGGGGCACCAAAGAACCACAGCCACATAAAGCAAGGACAAGGAGGGTGGCATCACAGGAGCATCGCCCGCCTCCAACCTCTGTCTCATTTTGTCACCCAGATCATGTCCTTGGCGGCAGAAATCCTTCCCCTAGGTATGTTCTGGGTTTTGCACAGACTTGCATAAGTGCACATCCCGCTGCACGCTGTGGTTCATTTAATAACATGTCTTGAGTCTACAAATTCCTTGAAAGCAAGGACTGTGTCCTGCTGATCTTGCTTCTCCCCTGAAGCAGATCGTGAACCTTGGAGTATGGTGGTGTTCCTGTGCAGTAAGTAAACAGGCTTCCAACTCTGCTGAACTCTGGGCACATCTCTGCAGGGCACAGGCAGAGGCACATCTGCTTGAGTGTGATGATCAGAGACCAGAGGAACAATGGTTCAGAGTTACCACCGTCTACACTGCAAATCAGTGGGGATCAGACTCTATTTCATAAGGTTAAAAAAAAAAAAAAAAAAGATGTTCCAGTTTTCTATGACTAAAATGTCCTGGGAGAACTTCAGGGGACGCTTCATCCAGGAATTCAAGAAACATACCAAGACCGAGTCTATCGCCTGCCTCTGCTCCAGTCTCTACATGAAGAAAGGAGTCCACGGAACTTCTAGGTCCAAACTGTGCAGGTCCGTACATACTGAGAAAAAGCCTGCACCTGCAAGAAGTCCAGCAAAATTGGTATCAAATCATCACCAGCTTTCTCTGAAATACTTCCTACCCCAAATCAGTCACGGAGCCAAGGGAATGGGCCGTTATGACTTCTCAGCTGTAAGATAAAGATTCTAGCCAGTCTTCTGCTACTTTGCTGTGGTGAAACATGTAAAGAGCGAACTGGCTTGTGGAAGGCTGAGCAGGGGTGCTGGCTCAGAGCTAATGGGGTAGGCTTCCTAGCTCAGCCAAGGATCAGTGCGTGAACCTGCCAAGTCACTGTACACCACACCCCAGGCTTCACCTCCTTTCCACACAATGTAGCTCGATTCCTAGGTCTCAGCAAGCCCCTCCTCTTCCAACCCCCACCCCCTTCTGAATTCCAGCATCTTAGTAGCTTCTACCCCACCAAGCTCAGCTTGGGTGACCCCTCCAGCCCTTCCTGTCTCTAGCCAGCACTGTCTGGCCACAGGCATCATTATGAGCTGACGCCTAGAGTTCTTGTGCTGGGGTTGGGTTTCAGTCCGTTGAGCTTCCTGAGAGCTGCCTGCCGCCTGTCCAAGTGGCTCCGGATGCTGCCGAGCAAACCATGGGGCAAAGAATCCGCATTGGTGGAGCTAATGTTTTCACCACACACACACACACACACACACACACACACACACACACACACACACACCCCGGGGCTGGCCGGATCAATAATGACTTGACCTCTCACTCCCGTCCCCTTAACTACCTGTCTCTTATTTCGCTACGCTGCTGTGGAAGCCGAGAGATGTTCCGTTTATGGGGGTTGTGAGAGGCAGTTCCAGGCTGTCCTGTTTCTTGAGCTTGTTGCTTTAGACAGGCTTCCTCTCACGGTCAGGGTCTTGGCTCTTTTTTGCTTTTGTTTTACTGGATGAGAACAGTTCTGTAGAGATCAAGCAGTACGGACGCCTTTGCTTCCTTGCGTCAACCATCTCTCCGATCTGTTCCTGACAGTCATTTAGGCATCATACAGCAGAGAGAATTCAGGTGCTAGAGAGGACGCCTTGCCCAAGCCACAGAGAGCTTGCACCTGGACTGCACACCAGCCAAGAAGCTCTAGGGGTCGCCAGATAGCCTTGCCTTCCCCATGCTCTGACGTTAAGAACAATACCAGAAGGGGACTGTGACCTCGAAGAGCTAAGTATTACAAGGGGTTCCCTCAGCCACCCACCCCCTTTCTCAGGGTTGTTCCCTTGATTGTCCCCGTCTCTTGGATCCTGGGCCCCTCAATATCAGAGTCCAGTGCTCACCAGGCATGGTGACCCATGTCTGTAATCCTGGAGACAGTGAGTTCAAAGCCAGTAAGGGCTACTTGAGACCCTGTCTCAAACAAAACTAAACTAAAAAAAAAAATAACATCAGGTATTCTAGAGGCTTCATGAGGTCTGATCCACCTACCCCAGAGTTCAAAGGTCATGAACCTTCCCTGGGAACAGCCTCACAATAGCTAACTGCCTCAAACTCTCTTCTGGAAGGATCCCTTGCTCTGTGGAGACACAGGTTAGCCCTGACAACCACGAACTGAGTTGAGGAACCGTCAATACTATGAAATGGGAGGGGCTCCATCAAGGAATAGAATATATATTAAATATCCCTGAGCTGTTGGGAGCTGCTGGAAAGGCCTTTGCCACCAAGAAGCTTGCCTCGGGGGTCTCCCTGAAGTAGCGCAGGGCACCAATGAGGCAGAGTCCCTTAAGTCTTCCCTCAGGTGCCTGCTGGGCAGTTCCATGGTGAAGTCCTGGTTAGGTTTCCAGCTTCCCTCAACAGGATCCAGTGATTTTTGCTTCTAGCTTAGTCCAGTGAGATCTCTTGCCATGGAGGGGTCACCTCTAATCATGGAACCCTATGAATGCCAACAGATCCCCCAATAAACATACCTTGACTAGCTGCTTCTACACTTGGCAGAGGAGAGCCAGCCTTTCGGAACTTGAACAACTGTGATTGGAGGGTGTGGCTCCGTGGTAGAGCACTGGCTTTTAATAGAGCAGTTATTCTCAACCGCATCGATGACCCTTTCACAGGGCTCACCTAAGACCCTCGGAAAACAGATATTTACATTATGATTCACAATAGCAAAATTACAGTTATGAAGTAGTAACGAAAATAATTTTAGGGTTGGGGGGTCATCACAACATGAGGAACTGTATTACAGGGTCGCAGTGTTAGGGAGGTTGAGAATCTCTGCAATAGAGGCACTGGCGCTTATTTTCACACAAGGGCAGACTTTAAGAGCTACCTGCCAGGCCCGTTTCTAAAGAGCCAAAGCATCAGGGGCTGCTGCCACGGTAAGCATGACTTTCGTGAGGGATTAAGACGCCCTCACAGGTTCTCAACCCCCTCAGAGTCCACATCGTGGGTTCTGACTTGTGGTTCACTGGAACCAGGCGCAGCTCCCCTGGCCTGGTCTTTACCAGGCGAACACTCAAGAGACTGTGTTGGCTGCCGCGGTGGACTGTCTCCCTTTCGTCTGCCTAGCCTGGACGGACTGTCTTCCAAACATTGCAGACAGTTTTGGGAAGCCACGCACACTGCCAGAGCTAGGAGCGGCTGGGGCGCCCCAGCGGTGGCGGGTGCTCTAGTATGGTCCAGCCAAGCTGCCTTCCAAGGGCTGCCAAACTGGTTTTCCTACCCCACCCTAGCCAGATCAGGAGATCCTCCCAGCCAATAGGAGGCTGGACCCCAGTGACTCACCCCTCACCCCACCGCCCCCCTCAGCTCATGGTCTCTCAGCAGATGTTTGAGGACCACTTGAAAGCCTGGCTCAGGATCGCTATCAAGTCCAAGGTTCCTGCTTTGGTTCAGATTCCTAATTTATGACAAGGAAGTGGAGCTGTGGCTTGAAGGGCAGCATCGCTTTACAGCCTCCCCACCCCAAGCCTCGGTCTCAGCCAGGCCTGGCCGTCTGTTGGTGGCCCCTAGAGGTGTTGCCTAGGAACAAGAGTCTAGGGGCTCCTCCCTTCTCTCCTCTTCCACTGAGGAAGTTCATTGTACTGGAGTTCACACCACGGCAATTGAAAATAGTAACAACAAATTCCAGAAATAGTCAATTCATAAACGTTAGATAACATATACTATAGAATTTTATGAGTTATGGTTAATTACTGTGACTGATTTAGAATTAATTTTTAGATATGCATTAACATCTATAGAAAAAAATAATGTATATAGGATTCAGTACCATCTGCAATTTGAGGCATCCACAGGACACCTTGGGGTGTATTCTCCACAGATAAGGAAGTCTAGTTCCACAATATGATTTTTTTATGGACGGTAAAGTAATTCAGATTTCAGACCATTGTCATGCAGCGTAAGACCGAGCATGGCCCTTTGCAGTCACATGCCATGGAACTACCCTGACTGGGAACAGCAGCAAATCAGATACAGCCTCGGCCTCCCCTATCTCCAGAGTCATGACTAAGGCTCTTACAATAAAAGAAAGATTAACTGGAAATATTTAAGAAGTGACACATATCAGGTCAGCATTCAGAAATAACTAAATCAAAAACAAAGACCCAAAGAAACAGAAAAGTTTTTAAAAGTATTTTTAGACTTAGGTTTACTGAAAACAGTGTTTGAGTTTACTTTCTGGTCCTGTGATAAACTGCATGACCAAAAGCAACTTGGGGAGTTAAGAATTTATTTTATTTTACTGCTTACAGCCCATCATAAACAGAAGTCAAAAACTCAAGGCATGAATCTGGAGGCAGGAACTGAAGCAGAGACCATGGAAGCATGCTGCTTACCGGCTTGCTCTCCATAGCTTGCTCAGTCTTTGTTTGTTTTTTTTTTAATTCTAAATATTATCATTATGTTGTGTTTTTCTTGCACAAATGTCTATGCACCATGTGCATACTTGGTGCCCTCAGAGGCCAGAAGAGGGCACTGGTTTCCTGGAACTGGAGTCACTGGTGATGGTGAGCTACCATGCCAGTGCTGGGAATCGAACCTGGGTCATCTAGAAGAGCAGCCAGTACTCATAACCTCTGAGTTTTCTTATATATCCTAAGACTATTTGCCCAAGGATGACACCATCCACAGTGCCCTTCTACATCAATCATTAACCAAGAAAATGTCCCCACAGACTTGCCTACAGGCAATCTGATGGAGGCATTTTCTCCCTCTTTCTGGATGACTGTAGTTTGAATCAAGTTGAAAGCAACAAAACAAAACAAAGCAAAACAACCCAGAATATGGTGTTCACACTCTATCGGGCCCATTTCCCCTGGAATGAGGACCTTTTAGGCTTTAAGGCAACAGGCAAGAGGTGGGTGTGGCTTTCCTGCTTTACTGTCCTGAACTCTCTCTCTCTCTCTCTCTCTCTCTTTGCTTTTACTATAAAATGCCACTTCCCATTGCTGGGAGCCACAGTGACAAATGTTGAAAGAGAAACCAAGCTGATCCAGATCACTGCCCAGGCTCATGGAGTTACGTCTTGTCCTAAAGTCGGGGTGAAAGCAGAGTACCAATCTAATAAAAATAAACTTGGAAAATCCTTAACTTTTCCCAAAAGTATACCACATTTGATTTTGTGTGTCTGCCCTTATGGTATCTGAAGTTATCTCTGATGATGCCTATGAGATTTTTTTTCCCTGATAATATCTCTTTAATGCAATATAGAAAACACATTGACCTTATCACATGGCAACAGAGACACCCAAGAAACCTTTCATGAGCTTACATCACCCCTGCCCCTTTAGAAAAGTCATCTGAGTTAGCTTAGCATGGATAGGTGTTGAAGGAGACAGAGGCCCTACCTGATTCTTGATTTATTGCTTCATTTCTTGTTCAAGGGTTTTGGGAAACTGTCAGCCTGAAAGCTTGAAGACAAGCTGAGCTTTCTCCGTCATGAATCAGGAAACAGTTTCGTTTGTTGAGATGGGGTCTTGCTATGCATCAGGGTCTAGCCTCACATCTGGGGTCTGCTAGCCTTAGCTTAGCCAGGGCTTATTATTTTGAGTGTGCACCACCACATGTGACTCTGGAACCAGTTAAAATGACTCATGTGGTTAATGAACAAGACTGGACAGCCCTCATCCAGCCCCCCCCCACCCCGTCCCTTGATGTCCACCATAGGTGAGACAAGTAATAATAATAACAACAATAATAATAAACAGAAGACTGGAGGTGGGGTCTGAATTCCCTCAAGTAAAATCAGGAAGCAACTTTTGTGCCCTGCAGTGAGGACAGCTCAAAGAGGACCCTGTCCAGGGACTTGGATACCAAAATCCAGGACAAAGACATGGAGCTTCAGAGGTGAGCCTGGGCACAGAGTGCCAGCATTCTTTAAAAGGAGTAGTTGTTTCCAGAAGTAATGGTTTTGAAAGAGCAAATAAGGGCTAGTTTTTAAAGAAATTCCATCCTTTACTAGTCTACAGACTCTCCAATGATTTATGGCGACCATTCACTTCCAAAGTGGAAAATGCTGTAGCCCAATGCTAAAGAGGCAAAGCACAGCACACGGCATTCACAGCCACTCAGACGCGGGCCCACAGGGGCGCTAACTGGGAGGGAGCTCACCCAGGAGCTGGCTCACAATGAAGGGATGGTGAGTGTACAAGCATCATCCTTTCTGTTTCCGTTTGTCTATGATGCAGTCATAACTATTTTTGGTAACCTTTAGGGAGGTCCACAAAGAACTTAAACAGATATTTAAATAATACTTAACGACAATGGTTAATGCCAAGGGACCTAAAGCTATCAGTGGATTTTTGTTAAAAGGTTGCGTGGCTCTTCGAAGCTGGGCTAAGAGGATAAGATAAAGAGGAGAGGAGAAATGAGATGTGATCCCCACAAGATCAAGTCCTTTAAATTAGATCAGATCCATTCGAAGAAAACTGAAAAGTCAGGGCCTTTAATCCCAGCAGTCAGGAGGCAGAGGCGGGCAGATCTCTGTGAGTTCGAGGCCAGGCTGGTCTACAGAGTGCCAGGACAGCCAGGGCTGTCAACAACAACTGAAAAGGGCCAAAGGCCATTATTTCTGTGTCTCCCAAACCCAACT